CTGCTACACATGCATCAACTTTTCTCCGAAATTCTTGACTTGGTGTTGTCTGGCTTCGGACACTGTCATATATTTCTTTTATCTCACCCTCAAGCTTCTCAACTTCATCCATCACGTTGTACATGTCTTGCTCAGGGCACCATTGTTTTAACCTTCTTCGGGTTTCTCGAACATGGCTTTTCCATTTCTTATATGTTCCATTCAACATTGCGCAATGAAACATTTGCCTTACTGCTGATGAGTAGCGATGATGCATGCCGAGGCCTAAAGCTTGCTGCGGGTTGAGTGCAGCGACGTTCGAAGTAGCTCTGGCTAGCTGCGTGACACGCGGGGTTGAGTGCAACGACGCTCAATGTAGCTCGTAGCTTGCTACGTGATGTGCGCCAAAGCCGATAGCTTGCCGTGGGATGGGAAGCACCTGCGCGCCGAAGCCTCCAGAAGGATGGATGAGGACACGTTTTCACTGTATTCGAACTGATGTCCCAAAAACGTTTTATTTGTGGAACACCGTGAAAATGAAAACACATTTCAAACAACAATCAACATGACTTTAATCTCTTTGGCAAGACATTCATAAGCAAAAATAAATAAATAAAACATACCGTGTGCACCTTCTGAACCAAAAGTAGATAATCTGTAATGAAGTTGACCAGACGGTATCGTTTCGTCTCTCTCGAAACATGATTTGCACAGAAAAGGCTCTCTGCGATAACAATGGACATCTTACACAAAATTGTATCAAAAATGAATGTATGGAGGAGTGCTTTTAAGCGATGGTGCAGATGTGTTTTAGGTAAGTCTGACAACTTTAAGTTTTTAAACACTAAACATTTGTAAATCTGTGATACGAAACAGTGAAATGGAGTGTGAAGAGATGCCCTCACCGGCCATTTTATTAGGTACACCATGCTAATCACGGGTTAGACCCCTTTTTGCCTTCAGAACTGCCTCAATTCTTCGTGTCATAGATTCAACAAGGTGCTGGAAGCATTCCTCAGAGAGTTTGGTCCATATTGACATGATGGCATCACACAGTTGGCGCAGATTTGTCGGCTGCACATCCATGATGCGAATCTCCCGTTCCACCACATCCCAAAGATGCTCTATTGGATTGAGTTCTGGTGACTGTGGAGGCCATTTGAGTACAGGGAACTCATTGTCATGCTCAAGAAACCAGTCTGAGATGATTCCAGCTTTATGAGTTGGGGCATTATACTGCTGAAAGTAGCCATCAGAAGTTGGGTACATTGTGGTCATAAAGGGATGGACATGGTCAGCAACAATACTCAGGTAGGCTGTGGCGTTGCAACGATGCTCAATTGGCACCAAGGGGCCCAAAGAGTGCCAAGAAAATATTCCCCACACCATTACACCACCACCACCAGCCTGAACCGTTGATACAAGGCAGGGTGGATCAATACTTTCATGTTGTTGATGCCAAATTCTGACCCTACCATCCGAATGTCGCAGCAGAAATTGAGACTCATCAGACCAGGCAACATTTTTCCAATCTTCTATTGTCCAATTTCGATGAGCTTGTGTAAATTGTAGCCTCAGTTTCCTGCTCTTCTGACCTCTGGCATCAACAAGGCATTTCCGCCCACAGAACTGCCGCTCACTGGATATTTTTTCTTTTTCGGACCATTCTCTGTAAATCCTAGAGATGGCTGTGCATGAAAATCCCAGGAGATCAGCAGTTTCTGAAATACTCAGACCAGCCCTTCTGGCACCAACAACCATGCCACGTTCAAAGCCACTCAAATCACCTTTCTTCCCCATACTGATGCTCGTTTTGAACTGCAGGAGATTGTCTTGACCATGTCTACATGCCTAAATGCACTGAGTTGCCGCCATGTGATTGGCTGATTAGAAAAAAGTGTTAACGAGCAGTTGGACAGGTATACCTAATAAAGTGGCCGGTGAGTGTACATATCAAGTTATATAACTTCAGGAGAAAACTGTCTTTTAAAGGGACAATTTGTAAAAATGACCAACCAGATGCAAGCCCAAACCTTGACGCGAGTGTTGCAGTTTCAATTTACTCGAACGATGTCACTTTTCTCCAAAGCCAAGTTGCGTGACTGAGTGTGAAGTGGAGAAGCCGGAAAATGTTAAGACTTAGAAGGCAGATTGAAGAGGCACAACATGAGTCTCACCAGAATACACGAACGATCTGCACTATGAGACTCAGTAGCGTGGCTATATTGTGATGGGAACTCAATTATTAACCTAGCTTACAGGACCCTCTGGAGAAGACTAGACCCCCAAATGCCTCCCAAACCCTTCATCCTGAAGCTACGTTATAATCATTTGATTGAAAAACATCCTACGAAAGGCTGCTGCAATAAAACTACAACAGAGAGGCAAGAGGATTTAAACATTTCCAGATTAGCCTCCAGTTGTGGGTAAACAAAGAGCGTTATTCAATTGGGCCAGGGAGATTCGAGTCAGACTTCTGTGGAATGTGATTTGACTCAATAGAGCATACTCTTCAAAGCGCTTGATGTCCTCTTTTCTGAGGACTTTTGAGAGCAGTCTGTCCCAGGTTTCTTGAGTCATTCTTCCACCAGCAGTTTCTTGGGGAGCCCGTCAGACATAGGTGGCACCTTTTTGTTTCAGGGCTGCTATGAGACAAAATAGATTAGAGTCCAACTACTTGGCTCACCAATTTTTTCTGCTTCATGGATGTGGTGACCGCAGCCGTAGCTTTTTTTCTTTTTGAGAAATTTATTGTGGTAAGCAAGTACAAGTCATTTTTTTGTCTCGCAACCAATTCATAGAGCTTCGTTCTCCTCTTCTCTCGTCTGATTCACAAGTATGATTGATTCGCTCTCGGTCAAAATCGGCAGGTCTGTTTAGGGCCTGATACTTTGCTTGCCTTCCCTTTTGACCAGACCATATTCAAGGTATTGGCACCTTCTATTGCAGGGGTTGCCAACCCACGGCTCGCGAGCCGCATGAAGCTCTTTGGCTGGCTCCATGCGACTCCCGGGCTTTCACATGACAAGCGTCGAAAACACCTCGAAGGTGGCGCTGAATTCAAACGGTGCTAAGTACAGCAGAACTTACGATGTCAGCCTATCATCAATCTCCTAACTTGTTTGACATACAGGACAACCAATCAGATGACCACTGAATTTTGTCTTTTAGGTCATAGCACATGCGCAAACAACGGTGCTAAGTGCTAAGCTACTCAGCGAATTATCTCTGATTTTGAGGCAGGGGTGCCCAGTACGTCGATCGCGATCAACCAGGAGCCAGCGGACTGGTCCCAAGTCGACCGTGAGGGGTGGGAGGAGGAAATGGGGGGCAAAAAAAGATTTGTGTGTCTGTGTGTTTCGGTTTCGTTCCGGCTGTTGCTCATCGTGGCGTGCATGCATATTAGCGCGTATGCATGGCTGGGCCACTGCCTGCATGTTTATGCTTGCATGTACGCGATCGGGTCACATCAAAAGTCGATCTTTGGTCAAAAAAGTTTGGCAATGCTTGCCCTATGTGGCAAGCTGACCCAAGTAGTAAGTACTGTAACCGCTGCGGCTCGCATGCAGACAGTGCCTGCAGGCATTTCCCTGCAGGGAGGCCTGAGAGGAAGAGTAGGTGTGGTCTCACCAGGCTCCAGGGAGGCAGCTTCTCAGCACACCTGTTTGATTGACGTCAAACGCGTATGTGCGTTCGACAGATCATTCAGAAGTAAGCAATTGTGTCACGTTCGCTCTCAATATGCTAGCAAAAAAAAAAAAGCACAGCAAAACGAAAATATGAGGATGAACACTGGACGTTTTTAACAGAGGGGAAGAGTTTATATTTTTTGGTTGAGCGCAAGGGCAAGCTATTCTGCCTTATATGTCAGTCGTCATTTGCACAATTCAAAGCTTCAAATCTTCTGCTCACTCCATGCTGACATCAACCAGGAATTTCCAAAGGGACTGAACTTGGCAAGCACAAGTTGGTCACTTTGAAAAGTCAGGCAGAAAAGCAGGTGCAGTTTTTAAAAAAAAATGACAAAGCACTCAGAGGCCGTGACACTTGCATCATGTCAACTGGCTTACAACACTGCACGGGCTAAAAAGCCACACAAGGAAGGGGACTTTGTTAAAAAATGCCACAGTGACGCTGTTGAAATCTTGGATCCTGAAGACGACAAACAAGAAAAAAATGGGATCAGATGTCCAACTGCCCCACCACACTGTTGAACGCAGAATATCGGACTTTAATATGGCTATTGAATCACAGTTGCATTCTGACCTTCAAGCATGTTAGTATTTTAGTGTCGCATTGGATGAGGGTTGTGACTTACAAGACAAGCCTCAGTTAGCAATATTTAAATGGTCTGTGTAAAACAATTGTGTGATCAAAGAAGAACTCCTTGATATTGTGCCATTAAAAGACAGAACCCGTGGCATAGATGTGAAAGAAACCATGATGGCTACATTTGTGAAAGCAAATCTGTCCATACCGAAACTAACTGCAATAGCCATGGATGGAGCGCCAGCAATGATCGGATCTGTGAACGGGATTGTGGGGCTGTGCAAAGCTGACCAAACATTTCCCAGGTTTTGGAATTTCTACTGTATCATACACAGGGAGCAACTCGTGTCTAAATCATTGAATTTAGACATTGTCATGAAGCCTGTGATGGAAATCGTCAACTACATCCGCACACATGCATTTAACCACAGGCAATTCAGGAATCTCATCACTGAGTTGGACCAAGAGCTTCCAGGTGACCTGCCGCTGCACTGCACTGTGAGGTGGCTGTCAAAAGGCCAAGTTCTCTCTCGCTTCTTTGAGTGTTTGGATGCCGTGAAACTGTTCATGGAAGAGAAGGACAAGGACTATCCACAGCTCTCGGATCTCGAGTGGATTATGGATCTGTCCTTTTTGGTCGATATGCTGTGTCACTTGGACAGACTGAACCTGACCCTGCAGGTGTGTTTGCACAACACACTGGAGCTGTTCAAGGCGCATATTCAAAAGGAAGCTTTAATGCATTTTCCCACTCTGCTTTCGTGGCGGCGTGGGCTGCTGGCTTTGCACAAACTAAGTGGAGAAGCAGGTCGTTGACGGCACCTGTCGTTGGCTCAGTTGCGTTGAAAAACTCACCAGGCAGTCTCAGCGTCGCGCCGTATACAAGCTCCGCCGGACACGAGGCGATGTCTGGCGTGGAGCGAATACCAAGCAGGACGAGTGGCAGGTTGTCAACCCAGTGCTCGGCATTGTCGGAGGACATCAGAGAGGCCTTCAGTTGGCGATGAAGGCGCTCGACCATTCCGTTGATAGCAGGGTGGTAGAGGCAGTAGTCCGACGACGTTTGCAACCGAGGAAGGTGCAGAGCTGGCGGAAGAGGCTCGACTCGAACTGGGCTCCACGATCGGTGGTGATGCGACCCAGTGAACCAAAGCGAGTGACCCAGTGTTGGAGGAAGGCCAGCACGACGGACTCTGTACTGCTGTCATGAAGAGGGATCACCTCGCACCATCGGGTGAAGCGATCAGTGCAGGTCAGGAGGTCGTGGCAACCACGGCACGGTAGAAGGGGTCCGAACAGGTCAATGCGGACATGGCTAATACGAGAATCGGGCATGTCGAAGGTACCAACAGGTGACTTCGTGTGCTGGTGCACCTTGGAACGTTGGCACCGGAGGCAGCTGCTGACCCACTGTTGGACATCTTTCTGCAGACCCTTCCAGGAGAAACGTTTCGCCATCAGCTTCGTCGTGCCGCATATTCCTGGGTGAGAGAGTCCGTACAGGGAATCGAAGCCCTTGCGTTGAAGGGAGTCGGGCCCAATGGTCGGGCGACACCATCGGTCTGGACACAGAGGAGGGTTCGGTCGGATTGGGGACGGGCACGAGATGACATCGGGATTGCTGAATCGGTAAGCCAGACCCTCACGCGCCTGAGCCTCTGTCATCGCATCGAAATTGAGGGCGTCGGGGAACTGGATCACGTTGATCTCAATTCAAGAGAGAGCATCAGCAAACTCGTTGTCTGCACCTTTGACGTGGCGGAACTCCAAATCGAATTGGGAGAGGTAGTCAAGGTGCCGGATTTCTCATTCCAGGTAGTTCGTGGAGGCCGATGGAATGGCGGAGAGCAATTAGAGCTAAGATCGACCGATCTGACCCGGCCCATGGTTATTTAAAACCCTTATGCGTAATCTGTCCCAAATTGGTCATTTTTGGACAGTTGGAAAGTTGTACACACAGCCAAAAGTGTGAAAAAATAACTCCACGAAGCTGAAATTTTGCATAGGATGTCAAAAGGGGTCAAAGTTCAAAATGACCGGAAGCGGGACATTTTTGAACATTACAGTGGGTATATATGACATCGTGACAAATTTGGCCACTGGATTAAGTAATAATCCCAAAAATGGCACATTGACGGCCATTATAAATTCCAATTTTCAATAGACTCTAAACCCGGTGTTTTATCGTGCATTTTTCTCAATTTCTGCACAAATCACATCACCGGCGGCTCACCAATACTATCAAAGCTTGAGAATTGTGTTAGTAGGGTTTGTCCCTCACTTTCCATGAGATGGCGCCAGAGCCTACAATGTAATTCTCGGCCGGCTCACTTCGTCCTTTCGTAAACGTCCGAATCGTCATTTTCATTCGAATAAACTGTATAGTTTGTTGCGAGAGGTCTATTTGCATCTATGTGTATGGATATGATCGTATGTGCACGTCATATAGAAGAGTACTGATCAAAGACATCGAAGCAGTACTTTTCCGCCATTTTGTGCCCGTTGGATTGTCAGGTCGTACGCGTCTCTTGCAGAGACGTCAGCCAGACCGACTCAACTTCCTGGTGTCACCTCTAAAGATGTCCCACCCGCGTATGTTGCGCATAAATTACATTGTTTTGCACGTTCACGCTCGCGCGCACGTGCAAAACAATGTAATGCAGTTTGCAGAGCATTGCTCGCTGGGTGTTTTTTGGAAAATCAGGTGTTAATTTTTTGAAAATCAACTTTTGAATTGGTCAAGCTGTTATGCAATGCATGCCCCGGCCGTGTGGTCTCGGAATGAACGTG